CTTGAAGGGTTTGCTTTTGTTTGCTTGAATAGTGAGACAGCATCCATGAAGGAAGGATGAAAAACCTGCTTTATTTTAATATGCCCTATTAGGAATTATGGGTTATTCAGATCTTTCATATCATCATTTAGTGTCATCATCACTGTTCAATATGGACTGTGCAACTCAGTTTGTGTCTATATGCTATTATAATCTAGAGTGGCTTCATAACAATACTTTTGCTCTAATTACAAGGAGACCCCTCTAAAATACTTTAATTAGATCACGGATCAGTTGTCGCATCTTTTTAATCTTGGGTGTGTTGAACAAAACCCAAAATCTAAAAGAGATTGATTAATTAGACCACAGCTTTATTAATTTCTTCCATCTGAGAACTGCTCAGGAGTGGTGCAGCCAATCAATTTGTCATTGTTCCACTAATTATTTCCAGGTGTTTGGAGTATTGTCAGCATCCCCTGCTGATGAGAGCTGTTCTCTGGATTGCTGCTTTGTGCCTGTCTTCTATCTCTATTTTAATAAACACTTCAAGGCTTTGGAAAAATGACATTTCCTCTGTGTATTAACCATTAAAAAAGCCTTAGTTCATTGTTTGCTTTATAGGTAAATGTTTAAGTCTGCTTATGAGTCCCAAAGTTCCAGTAGCCTTTTTTTGGTGACCTTTGCAATCAGCTGTTGATTTTTTTGAAAGCAGTCTTTCAGCTTGTAGCACACAAGTTACCTCACCCAGGTTACCAGGTGACTTCTATGTGCATGTGATTCTGGTGAAATACATGCAAAGACATCTTTCATTGCTGTTCTGTGAGTGTCCAAATTTAATATCCAAAATAAAACAACATTTTGTGGCGGGAAAAATCCTTATTCACCACCTCAACATTGTATTTTGAAAATCTGAGGGAAAAGGGGTTTTTTTTGAGAATCAGGTCTAAAAGACTCCGTTTCTAGGTACTTTAACTTTATTATTAGAAAGTGACTACTGTGAAATCTCCTCTTGCATTCCCCCTCAAGGAAGGAGAGAGAGAGAGAGCAGGTCCCCCAGTTAAATCCCCTCAGGGCAGGGGAAGTGGTTTGATCACATCCTGGGAGACGGGAGCTGTAGGTTTGAACCTTCTCAAGCTGATGAGATCCCAGAAGCCAAATAACAATGGACACATCTTTTAGCCATTGCTCAGGTGCAGGAACGTGGCTTGGGGTGTGGCTCTTGTCAGGTTCATGGGATCAGAGAATGGCTGAGGGTGGAAGGGACCTCTGGAAATCCTCTGGTCCAACCCCCTTCGGGGCCACACAGAGCCCAGTGCCCGGGACTGTTTCCAGACAGATCTGGAATATTTCTGAGGATGGAAACTCCAAAACATCCCGGCACAACTCATTCCATCCATCACCCTCACAGACCAAAACTGTTCCCTGATGCTCAGTGACCCTCCTGTGTCTCCGTGTGTGCCCATTGCCCCTTGTCCTGTCAGTGGGCACCACTGGGAAGAGCCTGGCTCTGTCCTCTCTGCACCCTCCCTGCAGGTATTTACTGGTAATCATTCAAATTTGGGAATGAAGCTGAATTTCACTGTTAGTTTTTTTTTGTGATTGGTATTTTTTTATTGGGTTTGGTTTTAACTTGGGTGTTTTTTTGGTTTTAACTTGGGTGTTTTTTTGGTTTTATTTTGTTCCCTTCTTTTAAGATCAGTATTTCTTATGTGGCTAATAGGGGCTTTCTCCACTGAATGTTCTAGGTTTTCTTTTAAATCACTTTCTAACAGGGAAGGTTTGGGTTGGATATTAGGAAAATGTTCTTCCCCCAGGAGGGTGGTGGGGCACTGGAACAAGCTCCCCAGGGCAGTGGTCACAGCACCAAGCCTGACAGAGCTCAGGAAATGTTTGGGCAACATGGTGTGACTCTTGGGGCTGGTCCTGTGGAGAGCCAGGGGTTGGACTCAGTGATCCCTACAGGTCCTTTCCAGCCCAGGATATTCTGTGACTCTGCTAAGGATTTCTCATAGCTGCAAATGATATGTCCTAGAAAACTGCAGTTCTTATCATTTCTACTCCAGAAACAGAATTGTTTCGTGGGGCTGCTGGAATGATTATTGGAATGGATATTCCTTGCAATTAGAGAGGACTGAAATACTGCTTTTAGTCTGTCAGGGCTCGTCACAAAAATGCACAAAGTGAAGAAGGGACAATGGGAATAAGGGTGGAAGAAGAACACTTAGTGAGATTGAAGGACAGATAGGGCATGAGAAGAAATGGATATGAATTATCTATAAATACAGGCAGCATGGCATTAAAGTGTCTGTAATGGAAAGAACCTGTCAGGTTCTGGAGTTCATTTTAGAATCACTTTCCTACTTCACATAGGATTAATTGGGGTTAAATGTCTGAGCTGTTTCTAAGATGGAAGCCTGATAAGTTTTTGAGTGTAGCTATTATCATATTAAGATTATTATTAATTCTATTATGACATGATTGACTGCAGTGGCAGGGAAGCAGACCTGATGACTTCAGATGTCTGTGTTTCTTGCATTGACCTAATTTTCCCTGAAAGTAATTTAATATAGATTACAGAACAACTTGAAATGAATTTGGAAAGAAATGGGTGACTCAGTGGAGGGTTGGCTTTTTCCAGATAAGAAGGTTTTTCTGAAAAAATAATTGGACTAGCTGAAGCTCCAGCATTACCTTTAGCCTAAGAGTGGTTTGATACCATTGCTGTACAAGGATTAAAATATGTTAATTGGCACTGAGACAGATGAGCTTCCTCTCTATAAATACCAGTTTTCTAGGCTATTAGATTTTAAATTATGAACTACTAGATCTTTAAAAGTTTTAAACAGTTTTGAACTTTTATATTAATACTTTTTTTATTTGCTTATTTGATTATGTTCATTTAATACTTTCTACTTTTCTTTTTTTTTTTATTTATTTCACGTAACTTGAGCTTTCTGGGTTTAAATAAGTAATCCAGATTTTTTTAACAGTTTTGTGTTTTTTTTTTTTTGACTCTCCGTACGTTTTCCTGCTGTTCACCAGTGTTGATTTTCAATTTTTTTCCTTGGATAATCCAGCCTAAGAAGATAATTTTCCTGCTTGCTTTCCTGGTGCCACTGACCGATTACCAAACATTATTTCCTTCTTTCATATTTCGGTATAAATGCTTACCTGAAGTTACAGACTGGTAATTTGGCAGAAAATGGTAAAATCCCTTCAGTACCAAAATGGAAGTTATTTTGCAGGCATCTGATTCCAAAATCCAAATCTTGCTTTGGCCTCTATTTCCTCTTGGATACAGCTAAAATTCACTACTTTGATATTAAAAAGTTTTGTTTCTGGATGCTTACAATCACTTCCATCTCATCTGAATCCAATTTAGAGCTTAAATAAGGGAAAGCCTTGCTGGGATTTTAGGCAGCTGTGTGTATCCCCTTGGGGTCAGTCAGCTCAGTGTGCTCTGAGAGGGTGAATTGGAGCAAACTTTCTACACAGAACTGTGATGGTTGGTTTCCTTCAATAAATAACCAAAGGGAAGATAATGCCTTCCCAATTGTTAAACTGGTTAGATGAATCCAGCCATCCACTGGGATCAAATTCTCAGGTTAGGAAACTCACATCTAACTCTTGTTCAGCTGTTGGACTCTCAGCTGTTCTGTGGTTGCTCTCAACCTTTCCTTTTATGTGAAATATTTTGAGTTACTGATTAAAAAAAAAAACCAACTAACAACAACAACAAATCATTCCCTATTTTTAGCACACTCTCAGCCAGGACTTATTGGTAAATTTTTTTAATAAGTGTTTGATTTGAAGCCTGTGTATCTTTGTATATGGATCTTTTTGGCCTCAGAGTTCCTTGCTCTTAGTTTCAGTGATCTTTGGCACACAGGTTAAATGCATGTGATGGCAGGGACAGCAAACTGTGTTCTTCCTCCTCTGCAGAAACTTGTTTCTCTTCAGAGAGCAGGTACCCAGAGCTTTGACTCTGTGATGCTTGAGCAGTGTAACATTTAACCACGTTTAGAAATTTGTTTTGTTTTCTTTGTCTGACAATGATTTTTTGTTCGTTGTCTCCAAAGAAATCCTTTGAGAGTTTTGCCAGCATTTTGGAAAGATAAGAAGGGTATGTAGCCTTAGAAATGTGCTGTTTGAATTTTTCTATTGAAATTGTATATTATCAGCTTATCATCTAAGATACACTGCACACAAATTATAATATGAACATGCAGTCCTAGTGGTAAATGTAATAAGGAAAAGAATTCTGATGGGAATTATTCACTGTGGCTGTCTTAAGTCTCTTCCCCACTATTTGCATTGTCTTATGGGAAGTTGTGCCATCTGGGATTTTTTTGAATGTTGTTGTAATGGTCTTAAAAGCAATGTAAATATGCTTTAATTTCACATTAGCAGTACTTTCTGAATTTCTGCACTGGAGACAAACAAGATTTGTTTTATTTTCAATAATAGCAAAGTTTGGGTTAATGTGAAATCTCATTGGGTTGAGATAAAATCTATGATGACAACCTGGGAGAGTTAGGGTTGTTCAGCCTGGAGAAGAGAAGGCTTTGGGAAGACCTAATTGCAGCATTCCAGTACCTGAAGGGGCTCCAGGAGAGCTGGAGAGGGACTTTGGACAAGGGCCTGGAGTGACAGGACGAGGGGGAATGGCTTCCCACTGCCAGAGGGCAGGGTTAGATGGGATATTGGGAGGGAATTCTTGGCTGTGAAGGTGGTCAGGTCCTGGCCCAGGTTGCCCAGAGGAGCCGTGGCTGCCCCTGGATCCCTGGAAGTGTCCAAGGCCAGGTTGGATGGAGCTTGGAGCAACTTGGGCTAGTGGAAGGTGTCCCTGCCCATGGCAGGGGGCTGGAACTGGATGGTCTTTACGGTCCCTTCCAACCCATGATTTTTTTCTTAACATCACTTACTTTACTTAGTGAGCTGTTTATACTTTCTGGAAAAAACAAACAAAACAAACCAAGGCTAAAACCTAATTTATTTACCGTGTGTGTTTTCCTTTCTAGGAGAAACCATGCGAATTGCCTCCTCGGAGTTCGCCGACGACCCCTGCTCCTCGGTGAAGAGGGGCACCATGGTGAGGGCAGCCCGGGCCCTGCTCTCGGCCGTCACCCGCCTCCTCATCCTGGCTGACATGGCTGATGTCATGAGGCTTCTCTCACACCTGAAGATTGTAGGCCTTCTTCACCTTCTCTCTTGGGTTTGCATGCTCTGTGTGTAGAAAAACGGGGAATAAATCAGTTATGAATGTAACTGTCAAAATTCCTTACTCTTCGCTGTTTTTTCTTCAAGTACTGATAAGAGACCATAACACATTTCTGTATTAGTCTCATTAGTTTTTTAATTTTGCACGACTTAATATTTGGAGACTTAAAACAAAATTAGTCAGATATCTTCAGTGACTGGACTAATTTGGCTGTTAAACAGCTGTGAACTGAACAGGAGTGTGTACTCACCTCACATCTTCTCCCAGTGGTTACTCTCTCAGTACTTGTCAAGCATTGCTATCTTGTGGCAGAGTTTAAGTACTATAGTTACCTACTTTTCTTTTTTTCTCTGCTTGACTTCTGGATATGTCAAAAGATTGAATGTTTTATTTGAAGTGAGACAATAGTACAGCTTATAATCAGTCATTAGAGTGGAAGAATAGAATAAAGAGAAATTAAACATTGCTAGGTAGTTTGTGAAGGGTTTGTATTCACTTTTGGCTGCCACCATTCACGTTTTTATTCAGGAACATTAAAAGACTATCTAGTTGAAACTGGAAATTTTTTTTCCCTAGCTATTGGAGTATTACACTTTTATTGCATAAACAAATCAACAAAACCCTCTGAAACAAAACGAGATGGTGTAGAAAATCACATACAGAATATTTAAAGCCTGCAGAGTTACCTGTGTGAGTTTAGCAGAGGAGATGGGGAGTTGCTTCTTTTAACAGATTCAGCTGCACAGCCATAGATGTTCTGGAAAAACAGCGAGAACCCTTCAACTTGCAAACTGTGCAGATAACCTGAACAGTTGGAAAACAGTTCCCATAAGAAAAAGGCCGATTTTTCAGCACAGGTTCTAGTGAGCTCTGCTCTGATGAGCAAAGTGCTGCTCTCGTTGTTGTCAGCACGTGGCCCTGGTTCTGTGCAGTGTAAGCAGTGTCTCTCTCAAATATGCTTTTTAAGTTTTCCCTTGCTAAAATGCTCCACGCAGCTGTAATTCAAGCAGTCTTTTCCTAGCAAGGCTAACACTTGAATATCGTAAACAACAGGGTTTTTTTTCTGAACATTATGTTGAAGAGTTGTATTCCAGCTCTTTCGCAGGCGATGAGGAATGTTGTTCTGACATCTGAGAGTTGTTTTTTTGTTTTACAGCAGAGTACTGTGTTATGGAAAACACAAATGTCCAATACTGGTTTGTAAGTGGGTGTATTTACTTACACAGTTTGCACCCTAGATTTGCAGGGGCAGTGCATGACAGTGTGGTTTGTAATCTTTGCGTTTATCCAATAATATTGTGAATTCTGTGTTCAAAAAAACCAGCAATCTCTGGGTGTTTTCAGCAAAATTCAACTTTGACTTTCATTTTTATTTTCAGGTTAAAAAGGATAATTTATTTCTGAGGACTGAACGTATAAATATGTTTATCTTACCATTTTTTTAGTGCTAACCAGTTTTAAACAAATAAAAATTAAATTACTGGGGAGAAAAAGTGGTTATGGTATACAAAATTGGGGAAGGAACAGATCTTATATTGACTCAAAGGTAACTTTCAAAGACTGGTGTAAGTTAACCATAAAATCAATGAGCTAAAATAATTCTGCATGTCAAAGTACTGAACCCTGCCTTATACTGAATTGTACTGTAATCAGTTTTCTCTGAAAGCTTGTCAAAGACTTCCAGGAAATAGGGCATTTTAATTAATGTTTTAGAGGGAATAGATGCAGATGCTTTCTGGAAGGACACTTGGTCATTGCTTTCAGGTTAGTTTTTGCATTACTAAAATTAGGAACAGTGGTTATTGCAGGAGTTTTTGTAACACTCATAAAAAGCTTTCATGTACCAATACTATCTGTGATCATGCATGCAGAGAACTATGAGTATTTTAATTACCTCCTTGCTATTTAGTCAGAAGAACACATCTGTACAGTTGAGTGAAGTTGTGTTTTCTTGAGGATTGAGAACTTGCTCCAATATGAATTTGTAAAAAAGAAATTATAATAACAATACAAGTGAAAATACAATTAAAGGGGGGCTTGTGCTCCTGTCCTTTCTAATACTTCTCATAACTGGTTTCGTGGGCTTGAGCCCTGACTGACACGACAGAGTATGATCAGCATCTTCTGAAATCTGATTATCAGAGGGCAATCTATAACAAATTCTTCAGCAATATGATTTAATATGGAGCTAGCAGGGCTTAGGAGAATGTGTGTCAGTTTGTCATGCCTGTGCTCAGCATAACAAACATATTAAAGGTGAAAGTCTCAGGCAGTTTAATGTAAATGCTTCTTCATATGAAGAAGTTCATATTTTGCAAGAAATTCCACAAGAACAAATTAGTTAATAGAGTAATGCTTTTGTTATTTGTGTTATTGGTAAGGCAGACAGTTAATTTTTAAAAACTGCTGTTCTTTCTAAGAGTAAAAGAAGAGGTAATTTGGATTCTGGATAAGCTTGTAACTTATAAGTCTCAGACTTAGTTTATAATTTCCAACATAAGAGCTATGAATTTATGTGCTTGAATTATGCATTTTCCAATAGAAATGTATGAGTTTGCTACTCCACTGCCCTGTAATTTGGTAAATCTGCAGTAAGGAGGTAAAAGCTCAAAGTAAAGTATTCTCTCTCACTAGTAGGAAAACACAGAGCAACTAAACCAATAAAAAGGCAGGTTCTGTACATAATTTTGCCTTTCTAAAATATTAGACACCAGCTACTGCTGAATTTAGAGGTTCCCAGTAGCCTTTGGAGAGCTGCAAACCTCTGCTCTTGCCCAGGACCGTGTCCCCATCCCAATTTCTCTTTGAGGTGAAGATTTGTTATTCACGTTCTCATGAATTGCAGCAATAGGATTTAGAAAGAAGGATCAGTAGAATCTTTTCAGTTCTCAATCTTTTTGCTTGGAATTGCACTTTTATCTTGTGAGGGAGAGAAATACAACACTGAATACCCATCTTGTCACAGTAAAGTTTTCCTTACCTTATTGCATGAATAGAGCATTTTATGCCTTCAGATATTTTTTTCTTGCTGTGCATAAGGTAAAGATTCACAATAGATTTGGTGGATTAACTTGTTGGTACAACTGGGGTTTTACATCTTTGCCTGCTCAGCATGACTGAGTAACTGCAGGTGTGTTTTCTTGGGTAGATTCTTTTCTCAGTGTTAAATAACTAAAAAAGGAAAACCGAGAGCTGGGAAAAAAGAAATAAGACATATATTCTGGGTTGAAGATATCATTTATTTCACAAAAATGGTTTGAATTTATCAGGGCAAATTTAAATCTTAATGGTAAGTTTGAGTTTCCTTTTAAAATTCTATTTCCTGTCCAGAATTAGTAATTTCCCTTTGTTTTCCCATAAAGCCTCTGCCACACATTAAGAACATATTCATCTATTTTGTTTTAAAAGCCACAGATATTAAATATTTCATCTGATAAGTGCTGAGTGGAGAAATTAATACAGTTATGCCTTTTACATTGGTTTTACATGATCTCAGAGCATGGTAAAGGGAAAGTAATGCAGAATGACAGCTGCTCCATTAAAGAAATCTAATTAAAGTTGGTCAGACTATCATGGAGCAAATGTACAGTGATGGATGTAAAAGCTAAATTGGGTCCATGTGATAGAGAGTATTGGGTGGAACAGTTACACATTTGTCAAAAGTGCACCCAGATTAAAGTGCTGACACATCTGATGTATTATTTTGTAGGTAGAGGAAGCACTAGAAGCAGTGAAAAATGCAACAAATGAGCAAGATTTAGCGAATCGCTTCAAGGAATTTGGGAAGGAGATGGTAAAACTGAACTATGTGGCTGCCAGACGACAACAGGTGAGTCCCTGAGGGGTTGAGAAAGTCTGTCTTGGTTCTGAAGGTCTTGTATTTTATGTCCAAGCCTGGTTTTAAATGTGCAGTGAGCGATTGCTGTGTCATGGCCTGTAATTTAATCAGGCTGATTATTTTTGAATGTGATGAAGCTTTCCAAAAGTACAGCTTCTTTTAGAGTACTTTTCAAGCAGCTTCAGTTAATAACAGATTGAGGAGTGAAAAGGCCAGTGATTCAGGAGGTTAAGGATAGTTTTCATTTAATGATTATTCCCATTTAATTCTAACCTATGCAGATCTCAGGTCCCTCTGACAGCTGGTAAAGCACTACCAAAGCTTTTTGGTAGTTTAGTACAATTAAAATTCATGAGGAACAGAAACCTACTTTGTGTTTAAAACCATTATTATTAATTTCCAGATATTTAAAAAACCAAGTGCTCCATCCTATTTATTCATTGCTAAGGCAACTGAAAAAAAGACCAGAAATTCACGATAACGTTTATTCGAGGTCTGCAATTGTACAACTTGGCAATAAAGAAAACTTTCTCCTGCACACTGTTCTTCTTAAGACAGTGCTGTCACTGTGGAGTTGTATAAGGTCTCTCCAACTTCAGTTGTATTTGAATACCACCAATAATTCAGAGATATGTCGTCTTTGTACATGGCACACTGGATCTGGAAAGCTGGCTTTCCATGGTCCTCTGCCTATTTACCTTATTTTCTGAATTAAAGTAATGGCAGTTTACTTCATGATAGTGGGGTTTTTTTGGTTTTTTTTTTTTTGCTTGTTTTTTTTAAATGAAAAGTAGCATTTTAGAGTTATACTGAAATGAAATAAGTTACAAATGTAAAATCTAGTCACTTTATAAACAGTGCTCTTCTGTATGTTCAGACACTTTCCCTGTGGAACTACAGTTACAAATACGGCAAAAAGAGAAAAATGTGAAAGCTTATGATGGTTTATATCTTTTAAGTTCTTATTGGAGGTATGATAAAAAAATTTAAGTTATAAATCTCTTAAAATTTTCTTAAGATGCATTTTCATAATACCAATAAAATTTTCCATATAACTGGAAAATCTTGACAGCATTAGAACAAACTACTAAGATGTTCATAGATTTTCCTTTCATGTCTTCTGTTTTCTAGCCTGATGAATTTTTTAGGAACACGTGTGGCTGAAATTAGTCCATGGGTGGAACCTCTAAATCCAGAATATCTGGGTTGTTTTTCAGTGTTTGCAACAGATTCTATATGTGAACATAAGTAAACTGTTCAGCTCTCCAGACTTCTTTATTCGTAGTTTTAAATAGAAGTAATAATGTTTTGTTATCCCTCGTGGATATTGTTAGGACTATCTTAACTAATATTTCAAAGGGTTTCAAGGACAATGTGATGTACCCTATAATTGAAAAAACCTGGATCAACAATAATACAGTACCATCTTATTCTGGTAACATATTGTGCAGTATCTGATTCTTGTTGTCAGGGGAAATAAAAGAAAATATATGTCATATACAAAAGAGACAAACACTACATGGTATGAAGAATAGAGCAAAATATGAAGGAAAGGCTAAAAAAAGTGAGAGGTACATTTTCTAGGTCTGTAAGAGCTAAAATCATATTCATCTAGGAAATATTATTTTGATAGTTTTTTAAAGGTCTACCTTTAAAAAGCATTTAGAAAAATAAGGCACTTGCTGCAACAGGATTGTTGCACTCACATTGCCTTTATGGAATGAGCAGACCAAATCCAGTCGATCAGGAAGAGTAATTTTGAATGTTTTATATAAATTTTTGGTGGGTTTTTGCATAAGGGAAGTGTGTGGACTCTTTGTAAGGTACTGTGGGCAGTATGTAACAGTTGTAGCTACACAGAAGGACTGGACTTCCTTGGGCAGGAGGGGGGAATTCTTTCTGTGATTTGTGGTGGATTCTGTCATTGATTCCCTCTCTGCAAAACCACCAGCTGGTGTTTATCCGTGGATACCTAAGGCAACACGTTCTAACACAAGGACTTACATTTACAACTGTAAATTACAACTTGCAGCCCAGGAAGCCAACAACATCCTGGGCTGTTCCCACAGCAGGGGAGGGGGGGATTCTGTCCCTTTTCCCCACCTGCAAAGCTGCCTCCAGGTCTGGGGAACAGCAGCACAGGGAAGGGCATGGAGGTGTTGGAGCGAGTCCAGAGGAGGCCGCTGGGAATGATTAGAGGGATGGAGCACCTCTGCTATGAGGAAAGGCTGAAAGAATTGGGATTGCTCAGCCTGGAGGCGAGGAGCTTTGGGGTGACCTAATTGTGGCCTTCCAGTACCTGAAGGGAACTTACAGGAAAGATGGGGCAAGATTATTTACAAGGGTATGTGGTGAAAGGATGAGGGGGAAGGGCTTTAAGCTGAGTAAGAGCATAGATTAGATATCAGGAAGAAATTCTTCCCTCTGAGGGTGGTGATGCCCTGGCACAGGTTGCCCAGAGAAGCTGTGACTGCCCCTGGATCCCTGGAAGTGTCCAAGGCCGGGTTGGACGGGGCTTGGAGCAACCTGGGCTAGTGGAAGGTGTCCCTGCCTATGGCAGGAAGGTTGGAACAAGATGATCCTGAGGGTTCCTTCCAACCCAAACTATTCTGTGGTTCTATGAAAACTCTGTGTTTTGGTGCAGGAGCTGAAGGACCCTCACTGCAGGGATGAGATGGCTGCAGCCCGAGGGGCTCTGAAGAAGAATGCCACCATGCTGTACACGGCGTCCCAGGCCTTCCTCCGCCACCCCGACGTTGCAGCCACGAGGGCCAACAGGGACTACGTCTTCAAGCAAGTGCAGGAGGCCATTGCTGGGATCTCCAACGCTGCCCAGGCCACCTCGCCCACCGACGAGAACAAGGGCCACACTGGCATAGGAGAGCTTGCTGCTGCCCTGAATGAGTTTGATGTGAGTATCAGAAGGGCATGGGAAATGAAGGGTTTCTCCAGGTAATAAGTCGTTCTTATACAGGACTCAAATTCCCCTTTTCATGCATGTCCATTTCCTCAGACTGCAAAGGCAAAGGGCGAACGTTGATTTGTGTTATTTTAAATGAGGGATAGCTTTTTGCTTGCTAGTGGGCTGGAATTATAAGGAGTTATTTGTGCTCAGATGGAGTGGCTGGGATAGAGAGAAAGAAGTTCTCTTTATCCCTAGTGTCCTTGACAAATCCAGCTACATAGTTCTAAATAGTGCAAGGTTTGGTTAGTCTGGCAGTTTAGTTTTGTGACCAAGATTTGGTGTTGGTTGAGTGGTCAAATCCTGTTTGTCTGGCAAGTGAGCCAGACAAGACAAAAAAAATGAAGATGGTGATGCAGCTCAGCATCTTGGAAACATTAACATTCAACTTGAATCATGAATTATGTTAATCAAAGATATGGAAAAAGCATCTCTCAAACACAGTTGATAGCAGTCAGTTCAGCTGCAGGCAAAGTGCTGCGGCCTCTCTTCCAGCAATAGATACAGTTCTGCTTAAGCAACTTTCTTGACAGTTAATTGTTTAACTGTTAATTTCATTGCCAGTCCTGTCTGATGATTTTTCCTTATCTCACATTTGAGGATTATTCTTTAGAAAGTGAATAAAAAAACCCAAGAAACCTGCAGACAGTCTCTGAAAATATTTTTCTCTTTCATTCTGACTTAGGGCAAGAGTTTGCTAAAATTATTATTAGGGAATGCTGTCCTCTTGACTTGAATTAATGAGCAAGGGTACAATAAAAGCTTCTGTCACATGCAGTCAGGAGCTGCTCAATCCTGCTGGATTTAAGGCTGAAAGTGGAGGTGGTTTATCTCATGGTGTGTTGGGCTGGGCTTATCATCTGCATCTATTCTTGCATCCATGGTTTTTCCTGCACAGTTATTGTGGGTCAAGGTTTCAGGAATTCTGCATGGCTTTCAGGGCCTTCTCAGCTCACAGGTCCCTTATTCCTGGGAATAATATTCCTGTGTGGTCTGATTGTACTCTGGCTTTTGTGTGGGACTTTGCACGTTATGGGCGGCAAAGGTTTGACAAACAGGGAGAGAAAACATGTGACATCTCAGCCCCAAACTGATGATGCTGCTGCTGCCTTCTGGAAAAGGCTGCTGTTCAATGCAAAGGGAGTCGTTGTGCTTAGTGAAAATAAATGTAGTGAAGACTATGCGAGACATCTGATATTGTCCCTGGCCTCTTTATGAGAATATTCATCATTTTTCTCCTCAGGTAAAGTGTTTTCCACTTTCCATGATGTTGCAGGCATCATGAATGCTTATGGGGGATGTATATTCATAGTATTGTGTTTTATTCACAGTTATGTGTGAAAAAGCAGCCTTTTTGGGGGATTTTCTCTTTCTAATTTTAGGAAACTGAGTGAAAACTTTCTCCTCTGACTTACTGGGGATAAAGAGATTAAAACTATTATTTTATCTATTTTCTAACTCACTGCTTAGCTGTCGAATGAGATTTATTCACACCTTCTTCTGCAACAGAGATGATATTTCTGAAGCTTCAGGGAAAGTCAAAATTTATAACTGTGATGGTGGGATGATTGTGAATTTACCTTTGTGTTATACAAGCAAGCAAGAAAGAAAAATTACCAGACTAGTGAAACTATGTCATAAGTACAAAGGTGGTGGAGAAATATGTTTTATTTTGATAGTGGCAGTATATTACCTCAACAAGGGAAACAAAGTTTGTATTTTCTAGTGAAAATAATTTTACAGAGTATTTATTTTGCAGTATCAGTCATATTGATTGAGATCAGTTTGTATTTGGTATGAAGTGCTTACTAAACCCTGGATTATATGACAAGATAATTCTGCTATATTCAAAATAAGTTTATATTTTTCCCCATAATATTTAACACTTCTCAGCATTCCTTATTTCAGATTTCAGAACCAGTGTTCTTTGGTTTAACGCTTCAAATCACTGCAGTCTAAATAATCTGAATATTTTCTCAATCAAAATATCATCATGTGTAGCATAAGTAATTATTCTACCTATTTGAAGCACTTTAGCTGTTGTGTTTAACTAGTTCCCATGTTCATTGTCATAGTCTGTGAGTTATTAGCAGCAAAGTTTTGGAAAGAATTGCCATTTATTGCTTCTCAGAGATAATTTAGTAGAAAAAGGGAGAGTTCACAAATGTATTTCTTATTAGATTTTCTTCTTTAAAGTCCTGTTTGAAGGTGATTGATCACAAAAGTACGTGTTCAATGCCTTGTTGCTTTGTCCTTTTATGTTTCCACTTTAACCTTAGATAATTTTAAGCTAGATATTCCTAGTTTTATTAGTAATTTATTAATAATAATTGGGTATATAGTTTATGCTCATGAAATATTTCTGAGTTCCTAATGCAACTAAGGGTGCACATTTTACTTCCCCTCATACTTGGCCAAATTTATTGAAGTTTCACAGATAAGTTTGTCAAGAACTTGCTGTGAACTCTGAAAACACTGTGTTTTCACTCAGGAAATGGTAATTTTGATCTGGTGAGGTCTCAGCTGCTCTGATTATTGAGGGACTGTTGTGTTGTCAAATGTTGTTGTGGGATGGATTTATCCAGGTATCCTCTGTGCTTTCCCCAGAGCCATCATGGTGTGTAGCAGAGACAGGACCTGCACATCAAACTGGAGTGTGGTGGGGAGGTAGATAGAGAGGAAGTGAAATTATTAAGTGAGAAGAAATGAAATGAGAGGGACCAGGAAATCTGTGGTAGATGAAAATTAAGACGAGGATAGATGGCATCTGATGTAGGTTTGGCAACAGGAAAGAGCTAAAAAAGGGTGTGGATATAAAAATGTATGATTATATCTGCATATAAAATAAAGGAATAATTGTGTCCAGAGGAGGGAACAGACCTGGGGAAGGGTCTGGAGCAGCAGGAGCAGCTGAGGGAGCTGGGGGGGCTCAACCTGGAGAAAAGGAGGCTCAGGGGGGACCTTCTGGCTCTGCAACTCCCTGACAGGAGGGGGGAGCTTGGAGGGGTCGGGCTCTGCTCCCAGGGAACAAGGGCCAGGAGGAGAGGGAATGGCCTCAAGTTGTGCCAGGGGAGGTTTAGGTTGGATATTGGGGAAAATTTTCTTCACAGAGAAGGTCGTCAGGCATTGGAAGGGGCTGCCCAGGGCAGTGTTGGAGTCCCCATCCCTGGAGGGATTTAAAAACCCTGTGGATGTGGCACTTGGGGACATGGCTCAGTGGTGATCCAGGCAGTGCTGGAGGAATGGTTGAACTTGATCTTAGAGGTCTTTTCCAACCCAAACAATTCTGTGATTCCGTGATTTTCGCTGCCACAACAAGGGCTGCAGGTACATGGCTGAGGGGCCATGTTCTTCATGACAGAATGGAGATGGGGCTGTGTTGGGCACTTGGGATCTCTGGTGAGTAGGAAAGTGCCTCCTTTTAGAGTGTGGATTGAGATTATGATTCCTTAGTCCCACTAGCGTAGCTGTGTCAGTTGGATGCACTGACAACACTTGAGAAGTGCAAACTACTAGGGTTTTCAAACTGGGTAACCTAAAATACTTTACCCATAGTTCTTAATATCTTTCTTTATATTTTGATATAAAAAAATGAGGATAATCATTCTGGTACAGTGCTGTGAGAGTAGGTGTAATGGTGTTGTAAATATAAAGCTGTTTACTATGCATGCACCACAACCCTATAAAAAGGATCATTCCTGGGCTTGAAGCAAGGCTTGGATTATCTACAATACAATTATGAGTCAAGGATAAAACAAATGTATAAATCCACTGACTTCGAAAGGGGAGGAAGAGATGTCTGAAGGAAGAAGCATCAAACCCCTTCTTTCCACTGATGACAAAAGCAAGTAGCTGTTTTCTTTTGTATTGCTCTAAGAAGAGCTGAGGGGATGGCTTAGGTGACTTTCTCATGGAGTTTTGTGTGTGTGGGGGCAAGTTGTCCCTCTAGCAGTGTGGAAGAAATTGATATTTTATTTGTTAAAAGGGACATATAGTCCTTGCTTTTTAATATATGTTAATCCAAACTGACTCACCCTAGACCTGATGTTGTTTTATCTGATATTTTATAATTTTTATCTCTTTTTTTTTTTTAATACTCGATTTATTGCTTCTCTCTACTTGCACACATCCATTTATCTTTAAAGCTGCAGACCAGCAATGTTGGTCCTTGTTAACATCTTGAATTGCTCTGCCTGTGGGTCACCCCTTTACTCCCTGATTTCAAAATCCTGTTGAGTCTTGAATGAGTATGAAAATAATTTGGTTTTTAAAGGAATATAAAGGGAAGTGGTCGTGGCACCAACCTACCAGAGTTCAAGAGGCATTTGGACAATGCTCTCAGGCACATGGTGGGATTTATTGGGCCTGTCCTGTGTGGGGCCAGGAGTTGGACTTGATGATCCTTGTGGGTCTCTTCCAACTCAGGATATTCTATGATTCTATGAATTGATCTGGTTGCGAACTGAAAGAGGTGGTTAAAATGATTTTCGGTACTAGAGGTATTTATGTATTTGGGATAGCTCCCAAGGTACTGAAACTGTACCATTTTTTGTTATGAGCAGCATTTCAACTGAAAATTCCAGGCAGAGTAACTCAATCTTTAATAAATTTTTGAACAGTGCGAGTCAACCACTGGGGAAACGACTACGTCTGATGAGAAGGAAAGTGTCTGATGACACTGGTCACTGTCCTCCAGGCTGTTAAATACAGCTCATATTTAATAAATGGGCTATCATAACGTATTTCTTGAATATTTTAATGCTCCTTTAGGAATATTTTGCATGGCTAGAGAATGCAGTGCAACTTAAATGGAGTGAAAAATCGAATAAGCGTGTAATGAGGGGGAAAAATTACATAGAAACTCAAAGACACAGTAATTGGGTACAGCAATAGCAAAGGCTGCCTTTTTTTTTGTTGTACGAAACTTAAGAACTATCAAATGTGACAGA